GCTGCAGAGAGCTGACAGTCGGCTGGGGCTGCGCGGCAGCCCCCCTTGCATTTGTCAGACACAGGCAGTACACCTGTACTGCCAGCATTTACAACGCCTTGCTCTGGGATGACATTGATTTGGGACGGGTGAAATACAAACACAAACTAATTAAACACTGCATAATGGAGCCCTACAGGAACACAAATAAAACAAATAAACACAAGTGCAGCTGGTGGGCGATCGTACCTCTGCCCCCAAGCAACCGCCTGGTGACATCAAATTATAAACACTGAAAACCCTCACACTGTTGCTGTTGATCATATTGGAGGCAAAATGGAAATTATCTGGTTAATTATGGGGAGGTTTTAAAAATATTAACGTTTGCGCACTAATATGATTCACTTCCTCCGACACCCGGCACTGAGGTCCATTTCTCCACCCTACGGTGCTGGGAAACCCCGGCAGGTACGGAAGGCTTTAGGTTCCCGGTCAGACTTTGCCTGCCCGCCCGCCGCCTTGCGCGTAGCCAAACCCCCACTCTATTCAAGCCGTGCTCTGAGATTCTGACCACCCGTGTCTCTTGCTTCTGGAGCTTTTCCTTTTGGTGTTTTTCTGAAGTCCCTAAGCAGTTCCTCTCTAGGGCCCCACTTGGCTCTTCACGCCGAGGCTCTCCTTCTCTCCTTGGGGTCTCCCCAAGCCAGCGCCTTCAAGGCTCCTACTGGGTTCTACCAGCAGACAGGAGGCACCAAAGGCCTCTTTGACATCCTCCCGCACCCCACCCACGACACGGGCCCGGGCTTGGCTTGTCAGGAGAACACTGGACAGGCACCCGCCCCACCTCAAACCCATCCCTGGCCTGGCACCTTTGGGCACCAGATTACAGCTATGTTCTCTATGCCTGGGAATGCTTGGAACTTCCTCCCCGTTGCCCAGCTGGGTGGTTTCCTGGTCCTGCTGGAGAAAGGTGCGAAGTCCTAATGAGTATTTAACAAGACTCATAAATCAGGGCGCTCACGTTGGGGCGCAGGGCCTGGCTGGGTCCGGAGGTGCCGCCGGGTCAGGGCGCCCAGCCCCACCACCTGCAGAGCAAAGAACGGCGATTTTGAAAGGCAGGTGAGGAGGTCATGGCACTGTCCGCTGTATCCACGACCTGGGTCTGCGGTGATAAAGGCAGGTCCCCGTGCTGGCGCCAGGGAGTGGTCGGTCCCTCCGTGAGCTTTTCCCTCTTCTTCAGACCTCTGTCATTGGAGCTTCAAAACAGTGAGGAATTATGTTATGATAAGCAAAGTTGTAAATGAGGATGTCATTTGTTTTAATTTCATTCTTATGCAAATATGCTGGGGTGATGGGAAGGGATCAAAGACTGACTGTATTGAGGGGCTGGGGACAAAAAAGGACACTATCTTTTTCAGAACTGGGATTGCAGTTTCCTCCTTTTTAGAAAACTACCTCCACCCCCGATCATGATAGCAAGTAAACTTTCCACCCGGCTTTAAAAACAATTTAACAGTCAACTTGGTTCAAACTCGCAATGTTCACCAACCCGCCTCCAGCTCCACCCCCACTCACCACGGCCTCAGAGCTTTCTCCCCTCCCCACCACAGCCGCTCCCTCCTCCGAGCCGAGGCCCGCACACTGGATGGAACCCCGCACTCCCACGGGTGCCCCCCAGAGGCACACGTTCTAGCCGGAGTGCGTGGAGTCAGGGCTTTCTGGCTAGAAGGTCCCGGTCAACTGCGGGGCCGCGCCGCCGGCGACGGGGGCCAACTGCCACTGGTCCGTGAATGGAGGTCCTTACGGAGCACCCGGGCTCCGAGACCCGAGCCCTCACGCTGGCCAGGCGGAACTCCTATCAGGCCGCGCAGCGACCCCTAGGTCTGGCTTTGTACCGCTGGGCAGCCCTGCCTCTATCGCAGTGATGACCGGGTGGCGACTGGGAAGGGAACCGGTCCCGCTAGGAGCACCCTCCAGACCCGTGGTTTGGCCTGCCCGGGCCATTGCCGCGCTAGGCGGGGACGGTGGCTGGCAGTCTGGGAAGCGGGTCTCTTCCGATTTGCTTATCCGGAGCCACACTGCTGGAGGCCATCAGTTTTCGAAGGCGGGCCGCTGGAGCCCCACTGGCCGTCCCCCTCCCGTGCCTGGGGCGTGCAAGACCCGGATACTCCTTCCTATTTGCCCGGCTCCTCTCGGGCCAGCAGAGGGACGACCCCGACTCTGGAGGGCTGAGCTGGTGAGCTGGACCTGCAAGAGGAGGATATTCAAGTCAGGCCCGAGGTACCTGGTAAGAGCCTCTCTCTTGGCTCAGGCACCCTGGGTCTTCCTCAGCCCCACTTAACCATTTGATGATTAAAAATGAGTAGAAGGCTGGCGGGAGGACACTCCTTGGCAAAGCTTAGCAACGAAGTTCTCAAGCCTTTTTGCCCCTCCCCCTCTCCAATGGGATACTTTGGAGGCAGTTTTCTTATTGCTTCCTAGTTCTCTATGTGCAAGTTTTCTATTAAAGCGCCAAGGAGAAAGAAGGGAAGAGGTGAGCTAAGTTGCTCAGGGTCTGCTAGGATCCCAGCCCATAACCCTGGGTAGAGAATGGCCACATTGGCTGCTCTGGCACCTTTCCATGGCTCCCTTGGGGCTAGTCTAGACCTTTCTAGTTCTAATTTCCTCCATAACTTGCTAATCCTCAGGCTGGTTTCCAGGTGAGTTTTTCCCACTGACCTCCCAGGTGTCTCCAGGAACCTACATGAATGGAGGTAATACATGCAGAGCATGGTGGGGTGGCATTGCTGGGTTGGTGAGGGTCAGGACAAAGCCTGCTGCCCGTGTCACTTCCCTCCCCAGCAGGTTCTGGTAGCTACAGTGTGACAGAAGTCAAGGCGGGCCTTTGCTGGTAGGATGGCAAGGAGTTGCTCAGTCCTTGTGGCTGGATCCTGACCCTGGCTTGCATTCCACCTCACTCTCCGGGTCACATAAGAGGGCTTATCTCACCTGTGTTTACCTGTTGCTCTGAAATGTGACACTGAAGTTTGCTAAATGGGAGAGAGGTGAAGCTAAACCTTTCATTTGTTTTGGATGTAGGGGAGAAGCAGTTGGGGTGCCTGGAGGTGGGCTGGGGAGCAGGAGGGAGCTGTAGTTAGGGACTTCCCAGAGCCAGAGTGCCAGGTGTCCACCTCTGTCCCCAGAATCTGTCACAGCAGAAAGGGAGCCCAGGCAGTTTCAGGTTTCTGGAGAGATCTGGGGCTGGGGGGAGGCGGGGGGGTGGGGCGGGGAGGGCAGAAGCACGAACAGGAAGAAAACCTGACTCTGAGCAGAGAAATCACAGCCCCCTTAGGGAGTTCGTGATGACTAATTACTGTTATGGGGCGGTGGCCGTGTGTCTGTCCTCAGATCCCAAAATGGGAAAACGGGACCATTCCTGATGCTGCGGAAGTCCTTGGGCTTCCGGGCCCTTGGCAGTTGGAGTCCAGGGTATAGGTGGCCCAGGTCACTAGCAGCAGAACATACTGGGGTCAAGACTCAGTAATCAGCCTCAATCCCGCGTCTCGCAACGGGCCCAAATCCAGTATAACATCGGAGTCCATGGGTGAAATTCCTACTGGGTCGCGTGCACCAGACCGCGGCAGCAGGGAGTCCGCTCCGTGCACTGGCGGTCGCGTGGGAGGTGCGGTGCAAAGTGGTTCCAGAAGTCCCGGTGGGTTCCGTGGGCACACTGCCCATCTGGGCCACCGGAACCAAGCCAGCGAGCGAAGCTCAGGGGCTGCCTACCCTACCTGCTCGGGCATAGGGAGACGAGGAGGACCCTCGAGTGGCCAGACCCCTGCGACCGGGAGCCAACCTCGTCCGGTCGTCTCCGGACCCGTCGGCTCACTCTTTCCGCAGGGTGGAGGCTGGAGAGAGGAAAGAGACGTCTTTTCCCCATCTTGGTCTTGGAGCCACCTCAGGCCGGCGTACTCCACTCGTTTATTTCCTGCATCTGCACATCTAGGGGACAAACGAGGGGTGCCCAGGACACACTGGCTTCTCCCATCGCCAAGGTGGGCATCGGAATATTTCCCTCCCGCTGCTTTGATGCTGCCTCTGTAAAGAAAATGTCTCTCGCCACCAACACTCTCTATCATAGACGGCATCCGCTTCCCCCAGCAAGTAGCTTCTCAGCTAGGGTTCCCTTTCTCGAAGTTTCCACAATAGCGAAAACCCGCAGGACTCGGCCTCTTCCCGCTTCTCCAAGTGCAGCAAGGCCAGTCATTGCCAGATGACTTAATACGTAATGGGGCCCCCTTGGACGCCACGACCGCGTCTGATGCCACGACATGCAGGTTTAATGGCACACCGAGGGCAGCTGGGTGCACTTCTGCCAAAGACATCCAGGGAAGCAAAGGCAGAGCCGACCTGTTCCCGCGCCCTGGCCAACCCCAACGGTGGTAAAGCAGGAGCCGATGTGTTTTTGTAAAACAGCAGACACACCTCGGCTGCGAAACAGCAAACCCCGGTGTCCGACAGCTGTAAACCGGTGTCGACAGGTTGTCAGGCAGCCGCGGGGGCCGGTCGGGAAAGAGCCCGCGGCCGCCGGGCCCTCACCGGCTGTCCCGCCGCTCGCAAGCCCACCGCGGGCTGAGGTGGCCCGGCCAGCGCGGGGCACCACGTGCTCGCCGGGAGGGGCGGGAGAGGCCGGCGAGGGCGGGCGGGAGGCTGGGAGGAGGACGGGAGCGGAGCCGGGGGCGGGGCCAGCGCTCAAGGGGATGCCAATCAAAGCATCAACTTCAAATTGTGTCTGAAAGCCCCGCCGCCGAGCGGAGGGCGGCCGGCGCAGTCGGCGCGGGATCGCGGATCCGGGCGCAGCCGGGAGCCGGGCGCCAGCGAGCACCGGGCCGAGGAGCAGCCCCCGGCCCCCGCCTCCGGGCCGGCCCGAGCGCGCCCGGCCCGCCGCCCGCTCCCCACCGCCGCGCCTCCCCCCAGCCCCCCGCCTCCTTCCCCCGCCACTTTAATACTTGCCCGCCGCCGCCGCCGCCGCGGAGTCCGCGGACATGTCCTTCCCGCAGCTGGGCTACCCGCAGTACCTGAGCGCCGCGGGGCCCGGCGCCTACGGCGGAGAGCGCCCGGGGGTGCTGGCCGCTGCTGCAGCGGCCGCCGCCGCCGCCTCGTCGGGCCGGCCTGGGGCGGCGGAGCTGGGCGCGGGCGCGGGCGCGGCGGCGGTCACCTCGGTGCTGGGCATGTACGCGGCGGCCGGACCTTACGCGGGCGCGCCCAACTACAGCGCCTTCCTGCCCTATGCAGCGGACCTCAGCCTCTTCTCGCAGATGGTGAGTGAGCCTCGCAACTGCGCGCCTTTCCTGCTGGGGCGGCCTCTCCCCTCCGGCCCCGGCGCCCCGGGCACAGGGGGCTCAGGCGACGCGGCGCGCGCGAGGGAGAGAGGCGGGCGGGCAGGGCGGGCCGGGACGCGGAGCGCGAGCTTCCCTGCCCAGGGGTCCGTGGCGGCGGGGGTCTGGGCAGCGCGAAGGGGCCGGCGGGCAATGGCCCAGCCACCTCGGTCGGGCAGGCGGGAGGCCCGGCCGAGAAGGGGGGTCTCGGCGGGAGTCACGAGGCCGCAGGAGCAGGCCCGGGGCTCGCGGCCCACGCTAGAGGCCGGGGCCCAGATCGCCCGGTGCCCCGGCCGGGTGAAGAAGGCGGGGCTCCGGTATCTCGGCCCGATTTTCCTGGAGTTCCCTCCAGCCGGCTCGCACTACCTCCGCGGCTTTGGGCTGGGCGGAGGAGACGTGGTTTCTCCCTCTTTGGCAGAGCTCACACAGTCGTATCCGAGTTTAAAGCCTGGTAGGTACTGTCAAAATCAAGGTAACAAAGGCGATGGGACTGGCCTTAGGGGTCTGTTAATGGTGTGTGAGTGTAAAAATTAAGGTATAGGGGAAAATTAAGTTGAAACATTTTTTGGCGTCTAAAATGCTGTTTGCTTTGACTTTCGTAAGTTGCCAAAGTTTTCATTTCACTTGCACCGAAAGAAAGCACTTTTCTTCTCTGGTTACATAATGGAGGATTAAAGAAAACAGTGTCCCTGCGCTGAAAATAAATGGTGTCCTCTTAGTCTTCAGTCCCAGTGGGTGTCAGATGTGGGGGCGGGGGCTCTGCCGCGCACGGGCCAGTCTGTCGATCCATATACGATACATTTTCCTTGATTTGGTGCAAGGTCGGGCTGAAACTTGGGCTGCTGGTGATCTGTGTGCGGGGCGCGGGGGACCAGGGAAGCAGTCTCCTCTTGGCGCTGCTGCCGGCGGGATAATGCAGTTTTCAGGCACCCCCAGGCTCTCCCCACTCCTCAAAGAAGAGACAGAAAATAAATACTCGCCAACCTTCGGCGTGCAAAGCGGCCGATGGGTTTTCCTGTAACTTTTTCTTGTTTGGAAAGAAAGCCTGTTTCTCTGAAAGCAGTCCCAGCTGCCTTTCAGATCGCTTGCTGTCGAAAAAGATCAGCTCCCATTTTGTTCTGGCGGCTGGGATGCCAAGCAAGCGATGAGAGATTTACAAGGTTTCCTTTCAAAAAGAATTCCCAGCAGAGAGGAGGTCTCAACGTCTTCTTTTCAGTCACAAGCAAAATCATTAGAAAAGTGCAAAGTACATTTTGTAAAGATTAGGCAAAAACGAAATCTGGCCAAGGACATCTTTTCTCTGTGGCATGGACCACCGAACTAATTACTCAAAGAAATCTTCTGTTCTTTACAACTTTCTTAGAGTCCAGAACCCCCTTCTGCTAACAGTAACTGGAAGATTGTGTGCGAACGATTATAATTTTTTACAGAACTTCTGAATGCAGATGTGTGCCATTTGACACCCCCTTGTGTTTGTGGGGGAGGAAGGGGGCTCTATGTTGAGAATCTGCTTCAAATGCAGTGCCTTGGGGGAAGGCAGAAGCTTGGTTTTTTATTAAGGGGGTCCTGTAGAGAAATCCGCCCTGCCCCAGGTGTGTATGTATTTTCTGTGGTTTCCTTTGGGTTCTTGGAAAGGAAGCCTAATCGCAAACTCAGACTCTGGGCCTGGATTTCCAAGCTGTTAAGGACTCAGGGTTTGGAAGTCAAAAGATAAAATTGTGAAGTGAATATCTGTCTGGGCAATTTATGGTAATAATGAGGCCTAATGAGGTTGTTAGAAAGATAAAATGTTATTTACCAAAAAACCTGATGGGATAATTTGACTCGCTGTGTTTTACTACCGATGATAAAAAGAATATTGATTGCAAATAAATCAGAGCCTCTAAATGCCTGCACAGTTTGTGCTGCTTGCTGCAGATCAAAGTCAAACTTCAGAGACAGAGTAGGAGTAGAGGCCCAGGAAACCGGTTCTGCGCCTCTTCGCAGGCACTTCGGCCCTCGCGTTAATATTTTACCGGATAAGCCCGGCTTTTGTGTTTAAAAAAAAAACAAATGGTGTTTTTGTTATTGTTGTCCATGAGGACCAGGATTAAATTTTTAAATTACCTGTCACCACTATATACCTTTAAGTGTGGATGAGCCATTATATGCAGATTAATCTGGAAACTAAAAGGAGCTCTGCTTTCGTTTTAAATTGCTGGTTGATTTAGGCCTGGAGAAAATCCGGGCAGTTTATTTTGTTTGACCCCCTCAGGGTCCGAGGGTGGGGGCATAGGCTCTTGGTTCTTCACTTCTGGAGAAGCCGTTTTATCGGCCTAGTTAAAAGGTTTTCCCCTCCAGCTAGTTTGAGGTAAACTTGGAAATCAGGCTTCTGGAGTTGTAGTAGATGGAGGTGGGTTGGGGGACCGAGAGCGGCCCCGGGAACTCTCAGCGGCCGCGGCTCCTGCTGTGGCCTTCCACAGAGGCAAGGATTCTAGAACTTTTCTTAAGTGACAGAAAATCTCGCCAAGATCGGTGGAAGCGCAGTTCCTGGAGGCAGCTCCCTGTCTAACCCCTCTCCCCACTACCACCTCCCGCGGCGAACTGGGGCCTTTTGCTTTCCAGCGGCCAGGAGCAGCTGCCCCTGACTTTCCCCTGAGTTCTGGGGACTCATCTTTCTCTTTCTCTCTTTCTCCACCCCTACTATCTCCTCCCTTGCTGGGCCGTGTGGCCTCAGGGCTCACAGTATGAACTCAAGGACAACCCTGGGGTGCACCCTGCCACCTTCGCTGCCCACACAGCGCCGGCCTACTACCCCTACGGGCAGTTCCAGTATGGGGATCCCGGGCGGCCCAAGAACGCCACGCGCGAGAGCACAAGCACGCTCAAGGCCTGGCTCAACGAGCACCGCAAGAACCCCTACCCCACCAAGGGCGAGAAGATCATGCTGGCCATCATCACCAAGATGACCCTCACGCAGGTCTCCACCTGGTTCGCCAACGCGCGCCGGCGCCTCAAGAAGGAGAACAAGGTGACGTGGGGTGCACGCAGCAAGGACCAGGAGGACGGTGCCCTTTTCGGAAGTGACACGGAGGGCGATCCCGAGAAGGCCGAGGACGATGAGGAGATCGATCTGGAAAGCATCGACATCGACAAGATCGACGAGCACGACGGCGACCAGAGCAACGAGGACGATGAGGACAAGGCTGAGGCACCGCGAGCGCCCACAGTGCCCACAGCCCTCGCCCGGGATCAGGGATCGCCGCTGGCGGCCGCCGACGCGCTCAAGACCCAAGACTCTCCTCTAGGCTTGGCTAAGGAGGCCCAAGAGCCCGGCAGCACACGCCTGCTGAGTCCAGGCGCGGCGGCGGGTGGCCTGCAGGGCGCGCCGCACAGCAAGCCCAAGATCTGGTCACTGGCCGAGACGGCCACCAGCCCGGACGGCGCGCCCAAAGCCTCGCCGCCACCCGCCAGCCATCCGGGCGCGCATGGGCCCCCTGCGGGCGCGCCTCTGCAACACCCCGCTTTCCTGCCCAGCCACGGACTGTACACCTGCCACATCGGCAAGTTCTCCAACTGGACCAACGGCGCCTTCCTGGCACAGGGCTCGCTGCTGAACATGCGTTCTTTTCTGGGCGTCGGCACGCCCCACGCCTCGCCCCACGGCCCGCACCTGCCCGCGCCGCCGCCTCCGCCGCAGCCGCCCGTCACCGTTGCCGCCGGAATGCTCCACGGCGACAAGGCCTCGGCCCGCAGCAGCCCCACGCTCCCAGGTATGGCGCAGAGAGCGTCTTTTCCGTCCTGGGCCAGGAATCCGGTGCCTGGGAGGAGCATGGGGTCGGGGGGCAGCAGCCCAGGATGGGGAGGCGTTGGTTGCCGAGCCCCGCTGAGCAGTAACCTTCAACGGAATTAGGGGAGCCAGGCCAAGGCCCTTGGGTTCTCCCCAGAGAGCTTGCTCCACAGCCTGCTTGCCGGGAGGAGGAAGGGATGTTTCTCTTGGGAGACCGAGCCCCGGCAGCGGGAGGGAATGGGGTGAGGAAGAGGCTTGCACACCTCTTGCCCCCATCCTACCCCCAACAGGTCTCCCAGCCCTAACTTTCCCTCTCCCTCTCCCTCGCAGAGAGAGACGTTGTCCCCAGGCCAGACTCGCCGCCACAGCAGTTAAAGTCGCCCTTCCAGCCCGTGCGCGACAAGTGAGTGCCGTTTGCTTTTACCACTGGGTAGGGGAGGGAGCAGGGCCGGTTGGCGGTGGGGTCGCACAGTCTGTGTTGATGGGACGCTGCCCACCAGCCCAGCGTGCCGGGCCAGCTGGGTCTACCCTGGTTTCTCCCAAGCCGGGAGCCGGGCGGGGCAGTTCCCCTGTCCCCCCACCCTTGGTGCTTGGCGGGCTGAACCGGCGACTCCGGGTCCGATCCCAGTGTCCATCTTTTGACAGTCCCTTTGCCTTCTTGTCTCGCTGTGTTTTCCCCGCAGCTCGCTGGCCCCGCAGGAGGGAACGCCGCGGATCCTAGCAGCCCTCCCGTCTGCCTGATTCAGGGTCTTCTTTTACTTTTGCTGGGGTGGGGGGAGGGGGGAGGAGTTCGGGAGGGGAGGGGATGAAGGAGGAATTAAGACAAATATTTCAGACTGGTATAAAGGACAGACTTGGCAACAACGTCAACGACTCCCATCCATCGCTTTCTGCAGAAAGGGGTTCGTCCCGGCCGAGCTCGCGTCCAGGCAGCTGGCATCCGCTCGAGGCTGGGCTCTGGTGGCTGTCATCCTGCCCTGGTTGATTATCGGTTCGGTAAATGCCCCCACGTGCTTGTGTCTCTCTCTTTTTTTTCCTTTATGTATATAGAGTGATTTCAGATTGTAAATAGCGCGTCAGCGAACTTGTCTAAATCATATATTTTTGTCTAATAAACTAAATGAAATGGTGCCACTGCTCCTGCTGCTGTGTGTGGCTGCCGGAATCCTGAGTCCTGGAATTCTGGCAGGGCCTGCCGAGTGCCTGTGGCTTGGGGAGGAGAGGCCTTTCGGAAAGTTTCTGCCCAGGAGGTGGCTGTTTCTCAATCTTTTTGGTTGTTGAATTTGTGATGTTGTCACCAGAACAGTTTCTTGTTGGCAGTTTGATTCTTAACAATTCTTACACATATATTTGGGACATGCCTTTCTCAGGACATAAATGAGTTTGATTTTAGGCAGTTTATAAAATGATTTCTTAAAGTAGGCAACAATGAGAGGGGGAGAATTTCCAATTGTGTCCCCAAAGGAGAACATCGAATTTTAAATCAATTTATACCTAGTTGTCTCAACAGTGCATCGTGGCATCAGGTCGTTCATGGGTAGAATGGGGGTAGAATGGAGTATGAAATTCTGTTTGGAATTTTTTTTTTTTTTTTTTTTTGTTATTTGATTAAGTCAAACGTGGAGAGATGGGAAGGCTTTTACAAACTGCTGATGGAGGGCAGGGATGCAGTGCAGGGGTGTTCTGGGCCTGTGAGCTGAGTGAGGGGCGCCCTAGTGATAGTTGGGACAAAAAGGGGAGGAGGCTTTAGTCTCCCAGGGATGCCCCCTTTAACTGCTGCTCCTTCCCCTGGGTGCACCAAGTGATCGAACCCTGGAGCAAATAACGCCCGAGGGTCTCGGCCGGGCCTGCAGGCAGTTGGGAGAAAAGTGAGGAAACAGCGCTGGCCGGCTCCGGCTTCGCGTGCACGCGGGAGGGCAGCGGTCCCAGCGGCTCGGGGACCGCGGTGCGCTAGGAGCGGGACGCGCCGGAGCAGCCTGCAGTCCGAGCAGGGCACAGGCGACTTTGTGTTGAATTTGCGAAAACCGAGAAAGCAGACATTGCCCAAATTGCCAGTGAGCGGAGGTGGCAGCGGGGCAACCTGCCTGGTGAGGAAGAGGCGGAATCCCTGGTGTCGTACAGGACCCTTTCACACCCCCACTTCGGGCCTTCTATTTGTCCTCGAGCCCCTTCAGGACCCGCTGTCTGAGGCTGCCAGTGGCGGCGAGAGGCGCGGCTGTTTCACCGTTGCTCCACTACAGCTCAGGAAGGGGGGCGGCTCGCTAGGAAGACGTGGGGTCTCCATCCGCCTCTGGCGCTTGCGTCCTTCTCCAGCCATCCCTTGCCCTGTCACATCCTTTTGGGTGAAGGGTCCCTTCCCCCCGGGAAGGAGGCGCATAGGACGCGGCGAGCCAGCCTCGAGGCTTGGCAGGTGTGGGGTGCGCGGCGGACGGAGCGTGTGGAGCCCCGGAGGAACGGAGCCGCGGAGCTGAGCGGAGGGCCGACTGAGGCCGCGATGGAGACGCTTCCATTCCGAATGGACGTGCTCGAGGCGCCCTCTATGGGCCGGAAGAGGAATGGGGCCCTTACGCGGCTTGGATCTCGCCCCTGGGGCGTGGCGCAGAATCTGGGGGTGCTAAGCATTGGGGATAAAGTGGGCGCCAGCCTCGATTTGCGGAATTGTTTTTTCTGTGTTCTTGGGCGCCACTCACTTGTTTGAATGTTGGGGGTGCGGTACCTGGCCTGCTGGGTAGGCTGCTGACATTTGTGGGGAGGGAGTGTGTGCCAGGGTCCGCGCAGGTCGTTTTCATTGTCTTTGGTGGGGCTTGCGAGTTCAGAGAGGAGATCTTCGTTTATCCTCGACGCTAGGGCTTCGGAGGTCACAGCCCTGGGCTCCCTATTTCAGAGTTTTTGGTGACAGTGAGCATCTTGACAGCTCTGTCCAGCTGTGTCCTGCGCGACTGTGGAGGAATCAGGTTCTCGGCCCAAGGACATGCTTCCCTGGGATCCAGTGTGCTGGGAGACCCCTTCTAGGTGACGGCTGGAAGCAAGGGGAGGGATTCAGACGGGCGGTGGAGTCCTCTGCCCTGGCCTCCATTCTCTCTTATTTCCCATAATCAAATAGGACGGTCTACTCAGGTATCTGCTGCCTGCCCTGTAAGTCCATTTTTAAAGAAAATCCAATACATTTTGGGACACCCCCTGCCCCGCCCCCCAGCGTGGTTGCTTAGCTGGCTGGGCCAGAAGGTGCTCACTCGCTCCAGGCCTCAGAATCCAAAGACCTACAAGCATGAGGGATCTGTGTCCTCTCCTGGGGACTGGAGATGCTTCCTGTACAAAGAAGTCAGATTGCCAGCCTCAGAATTATTTTTCTCTAAATAAAAGCTAGATATAAATTTTTAACCGAGAATTAAAGAGCATTTCCTGTTCTTTGTGTGCTATTTGTTTACATCTTCCCCAACATCACACCTACCTAGGTATGTGCAGCCTGGGGACCTGAGGCCCCACCCAAAGTGCCTTTGCACACAGCGTTTCAGCTCCTAAAATAACTGGGAGTAGACATAGAAACCTCCTCTTTTTTTCCCTAAAGCCAAAGCAGAAGTTCCTCTGCAGCTTTCTGCACAGGCAAAAGTGCTGTCCCACTCCATCACTGCCCCAGGACAGTTTCAGAGCTTTGCAGTAGTGTTGTGACCTGCAAGAAAGGGCCTAAGCCCAAAAAGGAGTAGAGGTGAGCTATATCCACAGGTTTAATGTTTGCACGTTAGTGCACTCTCCTCCACACTAAGGAAGGACCCCCTGTGTCCAGACAGGATTTCTGTCTTCCTTGAGTCTTCTGGTGGGGGAAGGGTAAGAAATCCTGTCTGGAGACCCTCCTCTTTCTGCTCCAGCTCTGGCTGGCGCCCAGGTGACAAGATCGTCAGGGCACTGTCCTGTTAGATCAGTTTGCCCTAATTCCTGGCCTTAGGACTTGGGGAGTGGGCTTAGGGCCTGCCCCAATTGTGACCTGCAGGAGTCTCTGAAATCTCTGCTCCCACTATCCTCTTTCCCCCCTCCGATCAATTATATTCCCCAGCACATTTATCTCGCCTGCAATATGGGGAATTCATATTCATATCTCGGTTTTAGTGTTCTGACACTGATTAATGTCATACGCGCCATGGCTCCGAGGGGCGAGCCACCCGATGAATCATGCCCTATAAAGTTTCAGTCGTCCTTGTAGATGGGACTCTACCAGAGAGCTAGGAAGCCAGGAGGGGGGAGTGAGGGGGCAGCGAGGAGGGAGGGAGTGGGAAAGGGAAAGGAGAGGGAGAAGCAGGTTTGACTGTGGTTCACAGGGTGCCCTTGGCCCTATGTGGGGGCTTGGGAACCCTGGACCCGTTACCAGAACCCTTCTACCCACCTGGGCACTTCCATTCCAGTCCTCCCCAGCCTGCCTCTTTTCTTCCCTTCCAGATGGTTCCACAAAATCTAGTGGCTGCCTGACCACCCCAGGCAGGGTCATAGTAGGACTGGGGCTGCCATGTGGAGACCTTGGATTTGTGCACATTGGTTTGGGGAGATTGGAGCGCTGAACACTCTCTGGAAGTGACAGGGCTCAGGTCGCCAGCAAAAATACGGTTTTGGCCCTAAGGATGAAAAGTTGGGGATTCTGAAGGGAGGGAAGGAGGCCCAGCCCAAGGAGGGTTGCTGGGTGGGGGTGTCTCCTCAAAGGTTAGGGGCACTGGGACCTTGGGGATCTGGAAGGCCCTGAGGGCCTCCAGAGGTCTCTGCCCACCCTCTGTGCTGTATGGGACATATCGCAGGACCCAGCACTGTGATATGAGTCAACTGGGCTCTCAGGCTGCCAGCTGCAAAAGGGAAGCTTTGGGCTACCCCATACTGAGCTCAGGCCTTAAAGCCCAGCACCTTGGCAGGCTCAGGTGTCCTAGGGGAGAGCCTTGCCATATCTAACTTCCTGGGACTGGGCTCCAGGTATAGAAGGCAAGCAGGGGAGGGAGTGGCCCTGGGTCTCCAATCCAGAGCGAGTGGCCAGGAGACAGAGCTAGGAGATGGGGGCCCTGTGTGCTTTGGGAGCGGTGGCAGTTCCTAGCTGCCTGGAGATGCCCCTGAGTCTGTGTGGAGAGAGTAACACCCTGCCTTCCAACATTTCCTGGGCTATGGCAGCCCACCCCCGGACATCTGATGAATGGTCTTCAAGTGAAAAGTCCTCAGCGATCTGGTTGCCCACTCAGCTGGGGAGGGAGAACTTCACAAGTCTTCTCCAGCCCTGTGGAGCCAGGGTTCTAATTATAGCTTTGGAGCTGAAATGCCTCAGAAGGTCATCCCGTGGGGCTGCTGGCGGCCTTTTGTGCCCCTGATTCTGAAGCTGGATACAGATTCCCTTCCCTCCCACTAAGGATGACTGAGAAGGGGCCCTCTGAGGGCAGCTGACCTGTCAGATCAGTGAGCACTGGGCCCGGGGCCCACAGTACTGTTAGAGGCCCACACAAATGTTTTAATTTCTTTTGAAATGAAAAAAATAAAAGCACTTTTAGGTGGGAGACAATTTGTTAATTATATCAATATGTTCATCTCTATACCAACCATAGCAGTGACATTCAATTTTTAACATTTGTTTACAGTGGAGGAAGAGACCCACCACCCAGGAAAGTAACCTTGTAGCCCAGGCTGAGGAGACCTGGAGGCCTAAAGTTCTAGAATTGCTTTAAGTGGGAAGTCAGAGAACCGAGGTGGCCCTGAACCTGGGATGGGCCCCCATCCTGCACCTGG